GTATGTTCGATCTTATTGAGCATGAATCTTGCAACTGGACAATAAGCAATTTCAGTCAAAAGTTAATTCATATGTTACAGATTAAATTTGCAATTATACAAACTAATGCTAATAAATGACCACTGCATCAACTGTCTCCCCCATCATAAAATTGCCGTTCACGTTATTGATTTCATTAGGAACATACATGTATTAGCGCTAAAAGACGTGAGACGTTCTGGCCTTTAATAGTGGACACGTTTTGGCGAATAACAATTATCGGACACGTTTGGGCAATATTGAATATAACGGACACGTTTGGGGAGAATGGACACGTTTGGGGGAATCGGACACGTTTGGGGGGATGGACACGTTTGGGAGTGTTACATATATGCAGAAATCTAAATTTGTTGTATCGTATCTATTTGGAAAAAAATGTAAAAGTCTTTTCAATTTGTCGACCTAAATAGGCGTTTTTGTCAGTTTCCGTAACTCGTTTGTTTTGCATCTGTCTATTGTCATCTGTTCTATTGGTGTTTCTGTCAACTCTAAAGCCTGTTTTTGCAAAGCCACGAAAAATCTTTTGAAAGCTGGTATCCCAGTTTGACGAGGCAACACGACAACTTATTGTCGGTTGTTGTCCGCTACAATCTATGCAGTTTGTGGGTACCGACAATATGGGTGTATGCATTTCCTTTTGTTATTGTATTCATAGCTTTTTTCATGTTCAGAATTGAACTCTGTTTTGTATAAAATTGGTTAATATTTGGTGGTGAAGAGTGTTGCATCAGTTCTTGATCAACGATGTCCCATGAACTGGTATGAGATTGAGCTCTTTTTAGTCTAAACTGTTGGGCATAATCTCTCCAGCCAATACCATGGCATCTACTTGTCCCCAATTCTACAGTACACATATATTTTGAAAAACCTTGAGTATAATCCGTGGTGAGCAGAAGAATAAATGCTTGTGTATATAAGATATGCATCAATCCACATATTAATGTCAACTATAGTTTTTACAGATTTTACTTTCAGTATCAATAGACCATTTGAATCAACAACTGACAAAGTATAAAGATTATCAGTACTTGATCTTTCAAGTAATGAACACAAATTAACGTATTCCCCGTTGACTATCTTGCCTTTACTCTGTTGTGAAACGGTGAAACTAAGATCGTCAGTAATGCTTGTAATCGGTGTAACCCCTAGTCCAGTAGCAATTGAAGCAAATGAAGAAAATGCAAGATTGTACATGAGACTTGTTCTTGTTCTTGCATATGATATGATGATCCTGAACCCTTCGACAAATCAACAGCTTGTATAATCTCCTGTCGAAGTTCCGGAACAAGCTGTTCTGCTACTGAACTAATGTCTTCTTAGTTGGTCCTTCTGAAGTTCGTGTTTCGACTTAACTCTCTGCCAGATCACCGTTTCATCTTCTTTTGGAGAGTCAGTTTTCCATCTTGGCCTCCTATGTCTTTCTTGTGTTGCCTAGGTAGCTGTCTTCGGCTGTGTCGACTTTTGTACGTTTGCGACTACTAGCATATGCACTCCCCGATTTATCATACGACATCCCAAAGTCCTACCCATATCTATCAGTATCTGTAAAACTAAAGCTCTAGATTTAATTGAAATAGCTACTAAGCGAAATTACCAAAAATTAGTATTAAGTTCAACATATAGCATCTCAAACAAACAGTTAAAAAAATGTTGCGTATTAATGAAAACAGAGAATATGGTAAAATGCCATAAATCACATGGAATCCTTGTGAGCGTACAGACAAAGCAATCCTGGCATGGACCACGTGGTGGTGTAAAATTTCAACGGCTTTATTTGTAAAATAAAAATTTTTGGATTATTCCCTTCCTTTTATTGGTAGTCTCAATTTTAAAAGAATATTTCGGAATCATTATTCAAGAACGTGTCGACCACTAGGCAGATAAATGCTTTAACATGCTTGCGAAGGTTGTTGGAGAATATTTCTCATTTTCAAAAACTTTTCAATATGTATACCTAATATTGCTATATCTTCACTCTAATAATAACCAAAATATCCAATAAAGATAATTCCTATAACCTATGTGCAATACTTGCTTGATCCAAAACGTGTGCTGCCGTTTCTTCCGACATTCAAGTTGAAAAGGCAGCGTGACCTTGAATTTTCTGTGAAGTATATCTACTGTTGCTAGAATATATAAAAAGGAGTGAACATATGTTATCATGGATAAAGCGGGATAACTCCTACGACAGGAATATCAGTTTCCTAAGATAATTGAATTTATTCTATACTGGAATAAATCCTATTACTGCTGATTTTGTTTGAATTGTTCTAAGAAGAGGCTACGTGGCCGAGTGGTCTAAGTAGTTCAGCTTCTGTAGCAATATCCTGTCAACACTGCAGTTGCGAGTTCGAAACCGCCACCTGCAGGTGTGATCGCTCCAATTTATATTGGCTGGGATTGTCAGTTTTCCTACCGAAGGTCAGTGGTTCTCTACGGGCGCTCCGGCTTTCAGCACCAATAAAAACTGTCCGCCACGATATAGCCAATAGCGTTGATAGTGGTGTTAATCACAACAACCAATCAATAAATCAATGGCGGTGGACATCCATCGTGAATTTGAACTTCCAACTTAATTTTTAATTGGTCTTACACTATCTGTTGTCATTCTTAGAATGATCTAAATTGTGTCATCTGTACTATTATTTGTCTATTTGTCTTTTTATCTTGGCCATGGCTTTGTCAGTTTGTTTCCGATCTATGAGTTTGACTGTCCCTCTGGTATCTTTCGTCCCTCTTTGATATGCCAAGTGATTTCAGCAAACGATCTCTTCAATTTCAGGCAATCATAATCACGGTGGCCATACTTTATAAGGGTTTCGATACAGTTAACTTAATCAATATATGTGTAAAATTAAGGTCAGTGTGCCTGGACTGCATACCAACAAGGTGCAGGACAAACTCTGCTTTATACGCCCGTCAATGAGGATTGTATACCGTAGTCGGTCTGTCCTCACGTCCATTCGTCCGTTTGTGCGTCCGTCCGTCCGTCCATCCGTATGTCAACATGGCGTACAATTACTCAAACTTGCTTATACCAAATCTCATGATATTTTATTGTTTTTCTTTGTTGACATAGTTATTTGTTTTTAAAGTGATTAAGATTATACCACAATGTTGACGGCTGTACCCCAATTTTTGACATTTTTACCTTTTATGTCTGTTTTCTGTTTGGTTTGTTCACACACTGTTGTCAATATAATGGAATTTTATGCGACTGTCATACAAGAGAGAGAGATTTAGCTAATTGTAAAACCAGGTTTAATACACCATTTTCTACGTAAAGAAATGCCTGTACCAAATCAGGTATACGACAGTTGTTTTCCATTCGTCTGATGCGTTTGAGCTTTTGATTTTGCCATTTGATAAGGAACATTCCGTTTTAAATTTTCCTTGGAGTTCGGTATTTTTGTTATTTTACTTTTAACACCACAATATTAAGATTGATGGAAGAAAGCTCCCTTTCGATTTTGATTTTTTGTTTGTTTGTTGTTCACGGTTACGGAACTATATTAATGATATTTTTTCACATATAACACACTAACACGAGTTTGCATATATCGATTTGCTCAAAACTTTAAGCTGTTATTGCGATTTATTAACGGAAAACCCACTTTGATTTTGAATATTTTCTGGTTTGTACATTTTTACACCGGTTCTAAAATCAAGGGTCTAGTCGATACAGAGTTTTGGCCGAAAATTCGGACTATTTCAAGTTTTATTGTCATTATAACGACTTGATTTACCGTGCCAACGACAGACTTGGTTATTTACTCTGTTTTGGACGTGACATGGTTTACGGACTAAGCATGAACAATATAGTCGATATCTTGAAACAAGGAAATGCTCATTCAAGCTAGCATATCTGACCTCATCTCATTTCTTATTGGTTTAGTTTCATAGTAATTTTCAGTTTTGATGTTGTTAAATATATTTCATAGTGTTCTGATATTACCTGACCATTAGCAAGTTGGGACCAAGGTCAAAGGTCACGAAAAAGACCTTACAACTGTTAGAACAATTATCTGTCTAGTTTATGCACACGTCTTTACTTAGAGGTTCGGTTTCAAAGTGAAAAGATCACGTCTCTTAAACGTCAATTGAGGTTATATAGCATTACACGGATACTCAGACAATTTTAAGAAGATTTTTCCTTCTCTCATTTTGATTCTATTCAAATAGAAATTTTTCTTTCAACAATATTGCAATTACACTATTAGTAAGATCAGAACTAGCATTACGTAGAACATTGCAAAGGAGCATTTAAGGTAGATCATAAGTATATACTTTTTGAGATAGAATTTTCTTATACTTTGCCAAAAGGAAGATTTTACTATGCTTTTTTCAAAAATATGATAAAAAGTATGGGTCACCGTGCTATTTTCCAAGCTATGAGTCGTTGAAAATTGCCTAAATTTGGTTAGATTGTTCATGAAAAAACACATTTGTGTGCATAAAAAAATAGAATTTTGAAATAAATTGCAAGAAGATAGGTTTTATAAAATGTTTTAAGAAAATAAACAGAAAAAATGGTGTCACCGAACTTGTTTTCTTGCTAAAAGTAAAAATTGAAAATTTCCCTATCACTCCAGTATATATTTTTTACTAAAAGTGTTATCTCCCCTTAAATGGCTTATTTGAAAAAAATGATTCTAAAAACACAAAATTTGATATTTGTTTAAATATATTGAATAATACAATAAATCACCAAGTTTTCTTTATATAAATAAACAATCTAACCATTAAATTGCAAATCTGTCTCCAAATTTGCAGATTTGGGTAAATAACTAGACCATTTTTGTACTGAGATTGTACAACCCAAGACGGCGGTATACCATGAATCTACCTTATAACATTACCAAATAAATAACCCTTGCATTTAAATCGAAACTGAAATACAATTAGCAAATAAATCAAAGTTTGTTTTGAAAACTGGTTTTGGATCTAGATCAGTATATTGTCATTTTAAAAATTGTTTGCTGAAGGTAAAGTGGGCGTATATAGTCACTTTTAGGTATACAGTCATAAGGTGGCAGTCTGCTGGATCTAACCAGTAAGTTTTGTCTAGATTTATACAATATTTGTTTTACAACGGAGTTACATTTTTACATCTTAAATTAACAGTGAGTAATTGAGTATTGGTAGAAGTTTATTATAGTCTTTTAAAATCTTAGTCCTAAAAATTGGTAAAATGCATTGCAAAATTTAATGACAGTCAATCTGTCAGAAAAGAACATAAAAGGGAACCTAAAAGAGTGGAGATGCTATCTTACTTTGTATCAGTAGGTTTGAATCCGGTATATTTTGCAAGTTGGCTTTAAAATCATGTAGCAAAAGTATTGCAGACAGTTTGGAATACAATTCCACCATTATCATACACGATAAAAGAAATATTTATCGCTGACTTACGCTGACAAAAAATGCGTATGATTCTAATGATTCAAAGGTAGAAAAGATGGATATTCAACTACATAGTTAACTCAATTCCTTTTTTATGTCAGTTGCCTCTGGTTCGTGCGAATGCAGCTACATAAGACACATTGTGCACAGTACTATTTTAAATGAGCCTTTGAGCGAATTGCAAAACAAAAACATTTTGAAAGCAATACCGATATCAATAATTGATTTCACAACTTTGTCTGTTTTTATTGTGTGCAGTATAATTATTAGTGTGCTGCTTTACAAGTAATAATCCATCGTTTTCTAACTGTAGAAAATCTGTGTTAAGTATTTTGCTTATTGTCGAAAATGCATCTGTGAAGCAGTTATCTGTTTGTATTTTTCATGGCCCGCAACAGAGTTGTCAGGGCCATATAGTTTTACCCTTATGCGACATTCCGCCATTCCGCAACGAACAGTTATACGAATTTTTATTCTAAACGCCTTCACACATTGAGCTGATTTTTTGTATGTGAGTCTACTATGATGAGTTACAGATCGAGTTTACGTTTGGTTCCGCTCTGCTGATTTTTGTCGAAATTACAGTCTTTGGGCTTCGATAATTTCATGAAAAACAACTTTTTATCTAAACGCCTTCTTCACGAGAGTTTACGTTTGGTTCCGCTCCACTGATTTTTTCCGAAACAACGAGCTTGGAATTAGACAATTTTGTGAAAATAACAGTTACACGGACTTTTTTTCTAAACGCCTTCCCATATTGAGCTGATTTTTAGTATGTGAGTCTACTATGATGATTTACAGATCGAGTTAACGTTTGGTCCCGTTCCGCTGGTTTTTGTCGAAATTACAGGCTTTTGACTTTGATAATTTCATGAAAATAGCAGTTAAACGGACTTTTTTTCTAAACGCCTTCACATATTGAGAAAAAAGTACAATATCAAAAACACCGAGATGATTTTTAGTACGCATGGGTCTACTATAATGAGTTACAGATAGTTTAAACATATTTTATTTGCAAAAGTAGCAAAAGGGATTGGACACAAGTATAACAACATTAGTGACGTCTTCTCCCTATATAAATATAAACACCAAGTACATTAAATAATGACGAAAAACATAGTAGGAATGCATGTACATAAATACAAACTGTATACAAAAACAAAAAACAAAAAACAAAAAAAATACAAAAAATACAATATAATATGGAATAATATATAAAACTGGACTGGAGTGAAGAGTTGGAAAGTAGGAATTCAGAATGTTAATTGATTGTTTTAAATCTTTGTGTTATTCTGATATATGATTGTACAGACTCAAAAATTTCTTTGTTTTGCTGAAAAGAAAGGTCACCGTCACCAGCCAATAGAAGCTCAATGGATATAGCATACCTTTCTAATTTTGAAAACAATATTTCTCTTGCTTCGTTGTGAAAAGGGCACTAAAAAAAATAGTGAATACTATCCTCAACAGGGTGGCCACAGCTGCATGCGGGACTGGGTTGATATTAACATTATGTAAATCTGAATTTAAAGAACTGCACATATTTCTCAAACGTGGATGAATGATATTAAGATTTCTATCACCACAACTGAAATAGGAGGGTGGCTGTATCAATTTAGACTTCATCTTTCGTTTAAAAATATTTATATTTTTTGGAAGTACGTATGTCGGGGTTTAGGTTATTCCATTCAATAGTAGTAGATGGAAAAAAAGGATTTTCTGGTTATATCTAGTCTAAAACTTGGTACTACATAATTATTACTGTTTCGCAAATCGTAATTATATATATAGATATTTGACCAACAAGTGGGGGCATTAAATCGCAGAGAAAATCAGGGGCAGTCCCATTATGTAAAGAATAAAACATATTGAGCTTTCTGGACTTTCTTCCAGATAGTTATAGAGTTTACGTTTGGTTCCGCTCCATTCATTTTTGCTGAAATTACTACGGGCGTTCGACTTTGATAATTTCATGAAAATAGCAGTTATATGGACTTTTTTTCTAAACACATATTGAGCTGAATTTTTGTATGTGAGTCTTTTATGGTGAGTTACAGATCGAGTATACGTTTTGTTCCGTTCCGCTGATTTTTTGCCGAAACAACGGGCTTTGGACTTAAAAAATTCAGTGAAAATAACAGCTATACGGACTTTTTTCCTAAACACCTTCACATATTTAGGTGATTTTTAGTATGTCAGTCTACTTGATGAGTTACAGATCGAGTTTACATTTGGTTTCGCTCCATTGATTTTTGCTGACATTACGGGCTTTGGACTTTGAAAATTTTGTGATAATAACGGTTATACCGACTTTTTTTCTAAACGCCTTCACATATTGAGCTGAGTTTTAGTATGTGAGTCTACTATGGTGAGTTACAGATTGAATTTATGTATGGTTCCGGTTCACTGATTTGCCGATATTTCGTGATAATAACAGTTATACGGGGTTTCATTCTCAAAGTTCTACTCCTAAAAATGGCTTCAAGCTTTTTTTGGCGAGCGGGACCATTCGTGTCGTGTTGTTATATAAAAAAAAAACCATTTTGTTATCAAGTTCAATTCAACAACATATTATTTCAATGATTCTACAAATATTTGATATTAGGAATATTTGTTGAAAGAAAGGAAAACCATTTTTTAGGATTTGATAGACATTTAGATAAAAAAAAAATAGAACTATTTTAGTTCGAATGACAAGAATGCTGACAAAAAAATTATATTTGTTTGAACTCTGTCATTCAATATGTTTAATAATATCGCATTGAATCAGTAGAAATGAGAGTAGACAATAATAAATAAAGAATCTTGCAAATAACGGAATCGACTTAATCCAATGAAGAATGATTATCAACATCAGCAATATGATATACAAGGTATACCAGTTTCTGAGTTGCGCAATTGTTTGGTATCAGGTATTAACTGCATGATCTGGGAGAGTCTGTAATAAAATTACCTTTATGCGCATGTTTTTCAACATTAAATATTAAAACAGGAATCAAAGGTAAAACAATCCCTCTAATATTCGCCGTAAAACATGAGTTCGATATGATTTTCAGCTATTCATAACTTAAATTCTGTTAGGTACCACTAATTTGTAATTTGAATCAAAACTCTTTAAAAAATTACGATTGGACTTATAAAACGGCTACGTTAAAGAAAAATACAATAATCAGTGATGAAAATAAATAAATGTACTGTATAAGGTCAAACAGTTTTGACCTTTTACAGAATAGGGTGGGACCAGTATTCGCAAAATCAGTACCAACCTTCCTTATGTGCAAGGATCGTAATTCTAATAAATCTATAACATTAAACTGCGAGATTTTGGAAAATGAGGTCTACAACGTGTGAGAATCGGTGCTGTTAAAAGAAATGCTGACATGTATAGTTTCTAGGATCAAAGTTGTATATTTGTAATTTTATAATGATGAAACATAATGTGAATTACAGAGGAGTAATGATAAGTATTTCTTTGTGACATAGTGTTTTACCTAAAATCAATATTCTTCATATTATCAAAGAGAAATTTCGAAACATGGCTTAATTTTGTAATATCAAACCTAGAACCATTCCTCTCCTTTCTCCCTCCCCTTTGTCTTCTCTCCCACCGATTTCTCCCTGTCTCCCTTTACCCTGTCCTCTCCCCAAAACGGTACTGCATACTGACAAAAGTTAAGAATACATGTATTACTGTATATGTATGTATATTTCAAAGGTGATTTAAAGCAGATGTTTCGTTGAAATAAAATGCTTCGCATAACTGTGTAATTGTACGAAAATACCTGTAATCAAGTTAAGATTAATTTGTTTTTTGTTGTTGTCATATTAATTGAAAATTAAGTATGCGTATAGGACTTTGTCGTAGTAGAAGGGGCGTAGCAGCTGAGCTAGGAGTGACAGGGCATTTTTGATTTTTTTTTTGTATTGGAAACAAGTGTGGACACAGATGAATGTGGATAGTATGTTTGGATGTTTGACACTGTTTTATATGACAAAAGGAGTTCTATGTTTTTCCTATATGGTGTTATTAAGGAGTAATGATAAGTATTTCTTTGTGACATAGTGTTTTACCTAAAATCAATATTCTTCATATTATCAAAGAGAAATTTCGAAACATGGCTTAATTTTGTAATATCAAACCTAGAACCATTCCTCTCCTTTCTCCCTCCCCTTTGTCTTCTCTCCCACCGATTTCTCCCTGTCTCCCTTTACCCTGTCCTCTCCCCAAAACGGTACTGCATACTGACAAAAGTTAAGAATACATGTATTACTGTATATGTATGTATATTTCAAAGGTGATTTAAAGCAGATGTTTCGTTGAAATAAAATGCTTCGCATAACTGTGTAATTGTACGAAAATACCTGTAATCAAGTTAAGATTAATTTGTTTTTTGTTGTTGTCATATTAATTGAAAATTAAGTATGCGTATAGGACTTTGTCGTAGTAGAAGGGGCGTAGCAGCTGAGCTAGGAGTGACAGGGCATTTTTGATTTTTTTTTTGTATTGGAAACAAGTGTGGACACAGATGAATGTGGATAGTATGTTTGGATGTTTGACACTGTTTTATATGACAAAAGGAGTTCTATGTTTTTCCTATATGGTGTTATTAACTGTGTTGCACGATGACAACCAACCTGAGCATGAGGAGTGTT